TTTCTATTTTTCTAAGCTTAAAATCTCCCTTCACTGACATCATAAATATATTACTCCAGAGCATTTTTTCCTCTCAGTCGTTCTAAGTAATGTTATTTAAAAAATTACGACCTCACTGCTCATTCCTTTAAATTTGGTTATTTAAGATTAACATGAACATTAGCATAAACTCCAACACAGATCCTTTCTACTTCCATTGTTGACATCCTAGAGTCACAAAAACTGATCACTATTCCTAATCTATGTTTATGTCGCACGGCCAGTTGCTCATTCATAACTGACCATTCTCTTATTCTTTAATTGCTATGTTTGCTCAGGAAACTTTAGTGAGGAATATTAGCAAAAACCAAAAATAAAAAGTCAACATTTGAACATTTATAATGTTCATTTTTTTCTTCCCTCCCTATCTACATACTGTGAAAGAACTCTCAAATAATATTTTATTTAATAACGCTTACTGCCAAACAGATGTTCAGGTTGGATTAGGGTTAGGGTAGCTAGGCAAGACTTTTCTGAATCCTCTTAAATTCTTTTTAATACTGAGCATTACAGTAATAGAAAGTCTAAAACATTCATAATATTATGTTTTAATGCCTGAGTAGAGGTATTATTTTGACAAGAAAAGATTACATTCCCACTAATTGATTCTATGACCAGTTAGCCAGACAATGAATGTCTCTGTGAAAGTTTTGCCCCTTCAAAATCTGGCCTTTTTAATTTGAAGGAATTAGAAAATTGTCATATTGCATGGAGAACATTGTACTTATTTTTTTTTATATTTCATGAATTTAATCTTTTTTTCTTGACTCCATCTATTTTTTGAAGCTCCATTTAAGGTCAAGTTCAAACCATCAACCCAAAGAAAATTGTACAACCTTAATTTAGGATATTCAGAAATAACTTGTCACAGTCACAATAGTTTGTTCAGTCTATTTGAAAATAATTGAAATCACCTCTTAAACACATCTCTCTGAAGAACATTTTTTTCATTTTCCTTAAAATTCCTAATGTTAATAAATACGTAAAATAAATAGAGCATCCTGAGCACTAATAGCAATTATTTTTTGGAGTCCACATCAGATCTCTTCCCTGGAACAATCTGCCCTTTTTAAAAAATGTATTTTTGATATAATGCTCTTGAAATAGAAACATCTCCTTCAATATTCCTTTCATAGTTCATTTTCCAAGATATTGATTCCTTTCAATTGATTGTTTTCCTTTTCCTCCAACCAATGTCATTTTTCCTCAAGAGGTTAATTCTGTATAACAGCAAATTAACTTTCTAAAGACCTTAGAAAGGCATTTGTCATAAGCCTCTCTGCTTCTCTCAACTTTTTGCTCTCAATAAACTTGCAGAAATGAACTTGTTCTTTTAGAGATCTTGCATAAATTCTATCCAGCAAACAAAGTATTTCCATATATTGGATAGGCCCTGTACCCTCCTCACTATCTTCATAAAGTAGGTATTTATTGATTTATGTAGCTGTTCATTTACTAATTATTAAATTAGATTAAATTTACTATGAAAACTATTTACTACATACTTAGTAAATATATGAACTTATATATTGGCTGAATTTCTTGTTACTGTGATTCATTTTCCCTAGAGATTGTCATACTAATTCCACAAGAGTACAAATATAATACTGTACACCATCATCATTTGAAGGCTTTGTGGCTTTGAAGGCCACGTCTTTTCTATCTGCCATCTATTCTACATCTGTTTTAACCTCTTCTGTGTCTACTCACATATTTTGAATGTGGGATTTATGCAGAAAGAAATATCCCCCATAGAACAGTTCTTTTTCACCGATTTCTGATTTATACCTTTTACCTCTTCACCTCTATACTAGGTGTGAAGGAGATAGATATTGCAGCCACCTTGGAGCACGTGAGGGACCAGAGACCAGGTGTGGTGCAGATTAAGGTACGTCTTGATAGTTCCTTGCTCACAAGAGTTCTATGCAGTCCTCTTGATGGAAGGGAATGTAGTCCAAGAGAACAAATCAATGTCCTGGCTATATGCAAATATCAAATATTGTCTTTAAGTGCATCATACTATTCTGGGGGAAGTAGGAGGCTCTTACCCAAACTCAATTTCACTGAGGGCCGCATCAGCATTGCAGTTGCCCTTGGGGGGCCGGGTGGGTGTGGCCTGGGTGGGTGCAGCCTACTGGGTGGGCATGGATGGAGTGGGTGTGGCCTACTGGGTGGGCATGGCCAGCTCTACCTCGTTCGCATCAAGGGTGCCTGTGGAGGCCTGGGCAGAAGTGGGACAGATCTGAGGATCTCTGGCAGAAGGGGGTGTGACCAGGGCAAGCGCCAAGGCATGGTGCATTTCTTCATTCCTCACAAAGGGTGACACCTCCCCAGCATGGGGAGGGCCGACGCGGCAGGGGCTGGTTCCTCGCTATTTCTGGACGGCCTTGTGGAGCTAAGACTCAATGCATTTCAGCATAGATGGCCACCACAAAATTGTACATGGGCTCCCGGCCGGCCAGGGCCAAGGCAGCGGGGGCCGTTCCCTCACTGTTTCCAGGATGGCTTCACGGGCCACATGAAACCACTTCGCGGGCCACATCTGGCCCCCGGGCCTTGTGTTTGACATGTCTGCCCAAGAGAGAAGAGAGCTGGTGTTTATGTTTAAAGGGTTCAAGCTAAAGTTTAAAAAGAAACTGGGCTTTTTTTTTAATAGAATAGTTATATTGTTAGAGGGGGTAGTGCTTCGCCGTTCTAAGGGAAGCGGGTGGAGAAGAGAAAAAAAGGGACCCAAATCCTTGGTACTCTTGATTATGCCCATGCTACTTTACACACTTGGCTTTTGTATTCCCAGGACCAGTTTGAGTTTGCACTGACAGCCGTGGCAGAGGAAGTGAATGCCATCCTGAAGGCTCTGCCACAATGAAGCCTCTATTCAGCATATCCCAACTTGGTGATTCCCCAACCTGACCCTTTGCCTCTGCTGTTGCTGTGTTCTTGCCTGGGGTGTTTTCCCTTTACCATGTATCATCTCCATGTGGTTCACCATGGCTAAATTTAATTGCCCTGTGGAAATGCTGGCCCCTTACCTACCTGCTCAATTGGGCCTCATCCATCCAACATCCTATAACCCTCATGCTGCTAAGGCCTACTCCACCCTGGTCTCTCTGGAAGCAGCCCTTAGTGGATAGATGACCGGGTCCCTTTTTGGACAGCCAGGTCACCTCTCGTGTGAGAGGATGTGCCATGGAGCAATACAGGGGCTGTAGTCCAAAGAAGAGTTAGCCCCCTTGTGAGACGCATTAAAGACCAGTTTTCTGAAGTGCCTACTTTATGTTTATGGGCATTGGTCAAAGCAAGTAGATTTGCAATGGGCGGGCTGTGGGCCCATTTCTTTTTTCTCTTCAGTGTCCGGCTTAGCCCTAGTGCCCAAATGAAATGAGTAGAAATGGTAATGCCTTAGCAGAAGCTAGGTTACGTCAATTGCCAGTTTTCATCCTTCTTCCATTCTTCCCTCTCTAAATTTCACCTCCTGAATCTGTGCCTATAGCAGGGGAAGAACTTAACACTGCTTCTGCGCTCCTTGTTGTCCCACTGTTGTCCTCCTTCTCTGTTTCCTGCAGGCCTGGAGCCAAGCCTAGTCATAGCCATTTGCTCCCTTCCCTAAATGGAGGAAGGGAACGTCACAGGGAGATGGCCCTACAGCTGCTAATTGCTGTGTTGTCTCCCTACTTTCTCCTGGGTGTTACTTATCACAAAGAGACATTTCTAGAGAATCTAATTTTGTATTTGATGTGAATAAAGGTTTTGTGTCGCGTTTGTGCAGCTGCAGCCCAGCCTCTCCATCTTGTGTACAACCAGGCAGAAAAATGTATTGTCTGCTCATGCCAAAAGATTTATAGATTAACAACTTGGGGTGCCAGATATTTTCCTGGAGGTAGGATTAGCTTCAAAAGGGCTGGCACGTAGAGGAGTCAGAGAGTTGCCCACACGGTGCCAAAGGGTACCCCAATCCTTGCTATACGTGTGCTTGGGAATGGGTAGGGGTATCTATGTACAAACACATGTAACATACACATATCCAATTTTGAAATGCTTAAAAATATAATACACCCTGCCCTTCTGTCTGCTGCCCTTTACCAAGCAGAAGGAACACCAAGCATATTCTGTCTGTGGCTAAGCCTTTTCTGCTCACACTTTATCCCATCTAAGCACTAGCCTTGCCATCTTTTCCTGCCTCCTTGGCTTGATTTTTTTTTCACCTGGTTTACATAGGCAGGGACACCCATGCTCTGAACCGCCATGTTATCTGAGTCTACATGAGAACGGTGAAACACAATTTCAAGTAGATCCAATGAAAAAGTTTTTAACCAACCCATCACCACCACTACCCCGTATACAACCGTAGGATTATAACCTGTGGTCAGGAATGGGAGAGGGCGGATTGCCTGTTGTGAAACAGGTAGTTTGTCTCTGACCCTAAATTGCCAGGTTGTCTATGAGCCTTTTTGCCACAGCCAGCCGGGTGTGGCTGCCTTTCCAGGATATACCACTTTGTTTTCCGAGCACTCTGGATCATACCAGTTGAAATTATTTTTTAAAAAAAATTATACACCTAAACTCTTTAACCCATTCCATATATTTTCAGAAGGCAATTCCTCTAGCTAGTTTTATTTTTCAACCTTGAAGCTGTAAGTAGCTCTTAAGATTTATCTAAAGGTCAATGTATAGGAGACGGTAACCCTAAACACCAAGGAAGCAATCTTTTTTCAAATATCCAACCCAGGCTTGATTTTATCCTCTGTTAAGAGGATAATAAATTAAAAGAGGTAAAAAAAGAATGACCTAAATACCACTGCAATTTGGTGAAATACAATGCTCATCCTGTGTGGAAACAGGCAGGATACCAAATGGGAGAATTTGTTCTTTGAATTACCTGTCATTGAGAGCCTTTTTACCGATTTTCAGAGAGGTTAAAATAATTCCTCCCTAACCTCTTTCCAAACATTTCTGAGACAGCGTTAATTCCAAATGAGTTTATTGATAAATGTCGTCCATTTTATACCAGGCCAGCACTCTGCCTTACAAAAGAGACCAGATCCACTCCAAGTTACAGACATGTTGAATGGGATTGTGTTATCTGTAGTCATTATTTCAAGAAAATTTTGCTAGAAGGGCCGTGGGGGGGGGGGAGGGATGGCGGGGTGAACCACAGGCCTAGCCCTCTTCTTGCTACCAACAGAGTCCGACTTACTCTCTTTGCAGGGACTGGTCTGGAAGAGTCCTTGCTGCTCTAAGGGAGAAAACTTGATGTCCAACCCCTGCCTTTAGAGCAGTCTTGCCATGTGCTGGGACTGCAACTCCCCCAATTCTCTCGCAGCAGGGCCGTCATGCTAGCTAGGAATTCTGGGAGTTCAGGTATCATTCTGTATATGACTGCAGGTTGAGGAATGTGCCGAGGCTGCCTTTTGCACATCATGGGAGTCTGCCCTGGTGCTCCAACAAAACTTTTGTTTATTCCCATCCATATTATTCTCCAAACACAAATGGTGTTTCTCTTGGGATCAATGTGCCCCTGGGCAGCTAAAGAAGATGCTGCAGTCCAGGCCTCTGAGGAGCTTCTGGCTTTCTTGACCCACCACCAGCTCTCTGGGCAGACTATTCAAGACTATCCCCCCCCCCTCTTCAGCCAGGCTCTCTTAGGGCAATGAGCACCAGTGAAGAGGGCTCGTAAGTATAAAAGGCCTTGGCTCTATGTTAATTCTGGAGCAGCAAGATAGCTACTTCTACAGCAAACAGGCTGTAGCCTGCCTGCGCCAGTGAGTGCTACATGCTACGCAGCAGAAAGAACGAAGGGAGAAAAATCACACACTCGGCACATGCCAGTCCCCCCTCCCCAATCCCCCGCAGGTTGAGGGAGAGAACAGAAAGTGAAGTCCAGGCCTGAGCAACCTTCAACGAGAACGAATGCTGGAGAGGCAATCCGCATGGCTCTTCCAGACTCAGAACACACCTGGGGAAACAAGCAAGGAGAAAGAAGGAGGGGAAGGGAGAGAAAAATACAGACACCGAGTGAATTAGACAACAGTGAAAAGTGGGTAGCAGCCAGCAGTGTCTGAACTGTGACATATTCTCCAAAGAAAGGGAGGGGGGGGAGAATACTTTAGCATCAAGACAGTTGTTGCAATCCCATGAGATCATGCAAGAACCACTCTGTTCCAACCTTGGTATGGCAAGGGAGGAGTGCACTGGAGCATGCAAAATAAGGAATGTGTACCCCCGAAGAGTTACTATTAATGAACTACTCGTAGTAAAGGAGATTTCCATCTCTTTTTACTAATCCTTGTCTATTATTGTTTACAATATTTGCTCTACAAAGACTCTATTGCAAAGGGTGTAGGAGTGGGTGGAAAGAAGACAGCAAGGTCTCCAAATCTTGCCACTGGCTTTCTCCAAATGAAGGACATTAGAGATACAGTTTACCCAGCAAAGTAGAGATAAGAACTTTGGTTGGAGTTACATTTGTGAAGAGGAGCCTTGTAATGAACATACCAGTGAAACAGATTCACTCCGCCTCACCCATATTTAACTACTACCTTTGCACAGGGCTCACAGTTTGTCTATATGCGTACACAGACACAAAACCTACTCACTATTCATCTCAAGCTTTCTTTCCCATCTTGGCTACCTAACTGAGTAACACGTCCTTATTGGTATTTTGGAGGAGGTGTCAAAAATCTTTCCCAATTTACAGCAAATGTTTTCACATCCCTTGCTAGATCCTGATTTACTTTTTGTGCATCCGTGAATGTTATCAGAAAGATTTAATGAAATATTTATTTTGCCTCCACTTGGTTACACTTGTACTTCTAATCTTGCCTTCGTACAGTATCGTCTGGATTTTGTGAATTGGCCTAACACAGCAAAGGATAACCCAGCCAATAGATCCCTCATAAACATTTTTTTTTTCTTTCTCTGTCATCCTCCCCCAACCTCTTGCCTCTTTATCAGGGTGAAAGCAAAGAAAATGGGAACACAAGCACAGGGCAGTTGCACAGAGACAAGCAAGTTAAAACCAGGGTTGTGTATATTCTTACATTTTCCCTAAGCAAACACATGTATCTGCAACCAGAATAATGCAGATAACTCTGTAAATGTTCTTTGTTCTTGCCTCTACAGGGCATTTTTCAAAATAAACTTTAAAATCATAAATGGGGGTAAATTAAAAAAAAAAAAAGAATGGAAGGAAAGCTCATAGTGTTCCTGCAACCTGGAGTTTTCTTTTTTAAAAGTCTGAATCATTTTGGACTATGGTATGTGCCAAGGGTATTACAAATATACACAGCCCTTCTGATGAATGCTGTTTCAACTGATCAGGTAAAATAAATGTTTGAGGATTACCTGCAGGGAGCCAGCATGGAGGGGTGTCAGACAGAATATGCCTGTCCTTCAGGGTCTGTGGCATGGGAAGCACAGAAGGGAGGGATGGGCAGGTGAGCAGACAAGCAGCGGCGGCAGTAAAGAAAGAAAGAGGGCACCAACAAGTTACATTCCTACATCAAGAATCCACCGAAGCCTTTTCCAGGGCCTGCCACCAAGGGTAGACAAAAGGAAAGAGAAAGGCAAAGGCCTGCAAACCCACCAGATCCCGTGCCCTCACCCCCACCCTCGGACCCTTATGCAGAAGATGACAGGAGGTGCGGGGTGGCGGGAAGGAAATAGCAGGTACAAGTTACCCACAAGCAATAAAGTGAGCAGTGAGCTGAGTGGAGTCTGCAGGAGAAAATGCCATGCCAATAAATTAAAAGATGTACAGTCTCTTCAACTAGTGATTTGATTTGAAGATCACAACCTGAGGACAAGGGTCATGCAAGCAGTGAAGTTATCTAGGATTCCTTGCCCCCTGTACAGATAGAATAATGGGACTAAGACCCACAGTGGGAGATAACGACAACCCGAACAGATCCGCAAGGCAAATTTCTTGCCTTGCCTCCCTCTCCCTACACTTTCTAGATGTCCAAGACAAAACATTCACAAACTGGGCTATTGGAAGACTGTGAAAACTGCCGATAGAGAAGGGATGCTCTGATTTTATAACATCCTGGGATAGTCTTTGAAGCAAAATCAAATTTGAGTTTTTATCTCCTTTATACTGTACATTACAACTCTGTCTGCACAATATGATTTGACGACTAATTTAATCCATTTCAGGATTCACCCAATGAGCTAGTGAAATGTGCTGAGTTCACACATAACACACTAAAGAAACCACAATTAGAATTAATCAAGTCTGTCGTATGCTACTACAACCACTAGGTCCTTAACTGATCTGGTTAAGTATTTTGTGCCAAGACAACCAGACAGTTATTAGCTAAGGAAGGCACAGTGTTGGTAGTAAAGGTGAGGAGAAGGTGGCAGAAAAAGGCCCCAACCCCTAAGTATGCTCTAGAATCATCCTCATTTAGGACAGGCCCAAACTGAGTCACTCCCACCAAATATAAAAAAACCTGGGTTTTAAATATCTCATTTTCTTCTCACCTTACCCAGGGCTCAACTATAACAATAATCAAGGAGCAGCAGCCAATAACAATTCCCCAGGACAAATCTCTCTGGTACAGTGAACAGCAGGGCCTCGCAATCAGACCATGCAGTTAAGCCATGCAATAAAACAGCAAAATAGAGAGTGCAACCTGCATTTGTACAATGAAGCAGGGCTCTATAGCCCAGGAGATGCCTAGACAAGCCCCCTCCCCCCCTTTCATGCCAAATTACACATACCAAGTTACAGAATCTGCTCTTGCCTTTTACTCGGTGGTACCAGCTTAGTGACTGGATGGGCCTGCAGGCTATCTTGTTAGCAACCAGTCAGAGCCGTCCTCAAGATCCCACCCTCCATTGGCTAAGGTCCAGAACGTACCAGCCAATGAAATACAGTCTTGGTGAGCTCACAGGAGTTGGCACTGCGTGTCTTTCTTCTTCTTAGGTGAAGGGTCTCTGGTTTTGCCCCTCCCCTTTCCATCCCCTCCCACAGACCCTGCGGGGGTTTTGGACGGGCCACCCGCTTGGCTGTCCACGACAAGGGCTGTCCCTTGTGGCAACTGTGACTTTCCTTTGGATTGCTTTTTCGTGGGGCTTCTCGCACCTGCTCTGTGCTGGCTCTTGGCCTCCATCTCAGACAGGCTGTAGGCCATAGCAAGCTGAAGATCCTCGTCGTCTTCATCGCTGTCGGTGTACAAGATCACTGGGGAGGAGCTTGGGGATGGGCGCTTGGGCGGTGGGCGTTGAGGGGATGTCACTGGAGAAGATGCGGACGGCCCGCGGTTCTGTAGCGCTTGCTGCTCACGCCGGCTCAGTTCCAAGCCTAATGCCATGTCGTCTGGGATCCCTGCAAGGGACATGTTTCAGCCAATAGCTGCAGAGGTCATCCTCCAGTATCCCTTCCCCCACTCCACCATATATGACTGCCTATGTGCATATATCCACCTTGACAAAGCATTAACCAGAAAAGTCAACATCCCAGGAAATCTTTGCTGGATTACAATGCCTGAAATTTCCCAGCAAACATAGCTATGTGAGGTAATGTTTGCTGACATCCAATTTGTCAGAAAGACCCCAGATTTCTGCAGGTAGGCAGGCTTGGATTATATGATCTGCAGAATTAGAAGCAGCAGCAGCTGCTTCTGCTGCTGCAGCTGTTTGGGTGGCTACCCAGGTAGTTTCCCCAACACCTGTGCTATGTTCCCCAGACCTCCTCTAGCGCACAGTTAAAAGATCCTGATTTCAAGTCCTGCCTTCACCATGAAACCAGATGAATTGACTTTGGGCCAGTCACTCTCTCTCTCTCTCTCTCTCTCAGCCCAACTCATCTCACAGGGTGGTTGTTGTCGGGAAAATAGAAGAAGGAAAGTTGGATATGATATTGAATTATATGTAAAAATAAGAAAGGCAGGATTATAAATAAACAAATAAAAAGGAAATATTTTAGAGGGGGGCTACTATAAGGGTACATTAATATAAAGTTTAATGCATGCTTTTTGCCCTATGCAATTATTCCAAAAAAACAATTCTGCTCACTTTGGTGACGTCATGGCTGTTCCTCCAGGCATTTGGGCCAAGAAGTTAAGTTCGCTAAGCCAGCTATTTGTTTTACTGCAAGCTGTTTACAACCTCAGACATTTATTATTGGAATTGTTTTGTTTTGATTTTGTACGAAGCCCAGAAACATTGCTGTGAAATGGACAGTCATAAATCCATCAACCCCCTGTCATTCCGGAGGCCAAAAATATTCTGACCTTCTATAAAAAAGTTCTTAAGATATTCAGAGTCCTCTTCCTCTAAAGCTACTCACCATTAATCTGGATGGATTTCAGTTCTCCATCTTCTTCCACTTCTACCCTCTCTTGTCCATTTTCAATGACCCTAATAAATAGGAGAGAGGGTAAACAGTGATTTCATGAGAACAGCGTATCTGCTTACTTTGAACCACGTTGAGTCCATGTAATAAATAAAATCAACTCAACATGGCTCAAAGTAAGCAGTAACATCTGTGTTACTGCAATCTAATAGACTCTCAGCAGCTTACATAGAAAAAAACATACAAGGCATCCAATATAAAAATAAAAATGCAACAGCAGATCCAAGAAACAGATCTTGATTTACCAATCATCCAAGAAGATTACTCCTTTCTCTCTGTTCAGATTAAAGAAGCAACTCTAAACCTGTTAACACCAGTGGCACAGCATAACATTGAAACCCTACAACAGGGGTGTCAAACTGCCGGCCCATGGGCCGGATGCGTCATGTGGAAGCTGTGCCCATCCCCTTGTCGGCAATGGCAAAACCATCCTGATACGTTGCGCGACGTCACATGACATTGCGAGTTTGACATGTCTGCCCTACAACATTCAAAAACTCCTAATTGCTTCCTAATTGCTGATTAAAAATGTGAATGAGGCCAAAACATTGGAAAATGGTTTGTTGTTTTGTAATGCTGGCTAATAGGGTCAATTGCCTTAACTGAAAAACTTACTCAGAAGCTTAGAATGCCTTATAGTCATTTGTAAGCTTACCTCCTGCTTTCTGATCTAATGAGCCCTACAGTGGTAATTAAAAAAGGAAAAAAAAATAAAGGGCACAATGATGCCCCAGGAAAAGCTGGGCTGGGCGAAAGCTGTCGTGTCAGCATTCAGAAACACACCTGAATTGTAAATGTAATTTTTTTTCAAGAGCAATTCCAGCCCTATACAGAATGGAATTCCCAGGCACCATGTGGAAAAAGTTACAGAGCATCACACTTATGTTAGAGACATGCAGTATTCAAATCTAAAACAGGACAAGAGTTTCAACTCAAGTGTACTTCCGTCCTGAGTCCATGTAACCGTGTTTTGAGCATGGCTCCTTTATGGAGCAACCTCGCAATACAGGAATGGGCCATGCCACATCCAAGCACTCAGTATTTTGGATCTGAATGCTGCACACCTCTAAGTAAATATTATATATAAACTGATGCATCTAAGAAAGGAGCTAGGCACAATTCAGCTTCCCCCGCCCCCATCACTTTTCTTGTCTCTCAATTCCCTGCAATCCATAATGTTTAATTTCCAAAATACTGACATTAAAAAAGTAAGATATTTACAGGACAGCCCTTGATCAAGGCAATTTCACACCCAACTCTGAAATACAGCTATATCCCAGTATCCTACAGGGTTGGGCTAGATGGCTATTGGTCCAAGTCAATATGTACAATACGATCTGATTCCACACCGCACTAAATTATACTTTATTTAATCATTACTTAAAATGTGAAGTATGGCGGTCTGAGAGCACAAAGCATCCTAAACCTAAATTGTTTGGCCTCCAAACAAAACGAGCTACATTATTTTTTTACTAGAATGGGTAAACAAGTCTGTATCTCGCTGCAGGCTTTTTATACTGGGCGAGCAATAAACCTCCACTACGGAAAAGAGATGAGTTACATGAGGTGCTTTAAGAGGAAACAGAAACAAAGCAGTAGTAATGAAGCAAAAAATGGGTAGGCTCCAGAAAGAATGGGCCTGAACATCCTTGAAGAGGATTCCAAATCTGTCCTACAAGACCAGAAGTTGACAGAAAGGTAAACAAGGAACAAATCAGATTAAAATGCCCATCAAGCACTAAGACACAAAGAGATTCACTGTCCACAATGGGGTGGTCCCAATGTGACAAATAAATAAACGGTTAGTTAAACTTACCTCTTGGTGGTAATGCGCTTGCCATTGATGAACCTTGTCGAAGTGGAGACAGAGCGGAAGCCCATCCCTGCATTGAGTCCTGGACCAAGCGAGGTTGCAAAGAACTCTACAAGGGAGAGCACCAGAATAACTTGCAAGGGACGGCACAGTGGTCCCTGGGACCAAGGAAAAGGAACAGCAAGGGAACTGATACATGATACACAAAAGCTTTCTTTTGAGATTCCAGGGTAGGCAAACAGAAACGCTGGGGAAGTCACCGAGACAAAAAGGGGCTTAAAACCAGTAAGTGACAATTGGCCGAACCCAATGAGACGAAAAGGGGGAAGAAGCTAACAGACAGTCCTTGACTTACAACCATTCATGTCGTGACCGTTCGAATTTACAGTGGCACTCAAAAAGTGACTTATGCTTGCTCCTCGCACTTCTGATTAATGCAGCATCTTTACGGTCACATGGTTAAAATTCGGATGCTTGGCAACTGGCACGGGTTTACAACAGTTGTGGTGTTCCCGGGCCCATGATCACCCTTTGTGACCTTCCCAGCTGGATTCCGACAAGCAAAGTCAATGGGGGAATACTGCATGATTCATGATTCACTGCATGATTCACTTAACATCTCTGGCAAAAAAAAAGGTCACAAAATTGGATGCCATTCATTTAACAACCGCCTTTTAGTAACGGAAATCTTGGTTCCAGATATACTATCTATATTCCAACTGTTCTTTTCTTACCTGATGCAGGAAAGGGGGAAAAAAAAGGCCCTGCTGCAGGATGCCGGGGTACAGGTCCACGTAAGTCTGCAAATGGGTCATCTGGAATGAAACAAAGAGGTGGAAACATCCGTAGCTCCCAGGATATTCCACCACCAAGTTGTATCCAACTCTAACCTGCGTTTCCTGGAATTAACTGCACAGCCCCTTGCTTTACGGGAGTTAAGGTGAGTGAGAAAATTCCTCCATATTATAGGAAAAAGTAATCTATAGGATTAGAGTTTCCAAAAAGGAAAACAAGAAAAATATTCTCCATGCTTTTGGTCTAATCCGAGTCAATTTCTTTTTCTTTTCTTAATGAGCTGTGGTGGCGCAGTGATTAGAATGCAGTATTGCAGTCTAATTCAGCTCACTGCCAGGAGTTCAATCCTCACCAGCTCAAGGTTGACTCGGACTTCCATCCTTCCAAGGTCGATAAAATGAGGACTCCGATTGTTGGGGGGGGCGAGATGCTGACTCTATAAACGACTTTAAGAGGGCTGTAAAGCACTGTGAAGCAGTATATCAGTCTAAGTGCCATTGCTATTGATACAGTCCCTTATCTCCTTTCAGAACCTGGTTACTTGTACTCTCAGCTACGCATCAAGGGAAAATTAAATCCGAGCCTTTTTCTCTCCCATTCTTCTCCAAGGGAGGGGGAGGTTAGTTCAAACATTACAAACAGCCACTTACCAAAAAAGTCAGCAAATGGATCTCGCCCTCCAAAGAACTCTCGGAAAACGTCATGGGCGCTACGGAAAGTGAAAGTGAATTCTGGTCCTGGATGAGCCCTGGAACCACCAGATCCAGCTAGGAAAAAGTGAAAAAACAATATTAATATGTCTGCTTAAAAAGAAAAGAAATAATATGACAAAGCTGTAATATGTGCTGTCGGTGTAAGAAAGCAAAGATGTTGAAATATTGGAAAATTAGGAACATTACATCATGGCTCCTAAGTTTGCTAGCAGTGGATTTTTGCAGACCCAACCAAATAGCTTGTAAAAACAGTGGCTTGTAGCTGGTCAGCCAAGAACAAGGCAAAAACCTAATGCTGGATAAACCCATTTACAAAAAATGAAGAGCTCATAATTCATAGCAATCCCTTGGACCAAGGGGATTTTAGTTACTTAAACTTTACAAAGCTAGACTGGCACAAAAGTTGCCCTGGTTTTGTCCCAGCAGCCAAAGAAGACCTCTCTCGTGTTCTCTTCCCAAGCCTCAAACTCACACACAAATTGAGAAAGTTGTCCTCCATCTTGCTCAATCTATGTTGAACAACTGTGCAAGGCATTGGAAAGGTCTGTTCTTGCAAGGTGTGTTGCATACACAAAACACACTTCCTTGACGTGTTAGAGCATCCGCACACACCGGTGCAACTGCTTTCAAGATTTTCCCCGGCTGTCTCCACATATGTGCCCATGAATAACTGTTTGTCATTCATGTGTTATCTGTGTATGTTTGGAAGAAACAGCCATCCCAGAATGGTCAGAACAGCTTTCGGACACTTTCAGTAAACTCCAAACAGCCATTTCAAACTTAAAACACAATGTTTTGCATTCCAAACATTCTGGACTTGAAACATTTTGTCCACTACTTAGAGGTTCATGACTTCTTTCCTTCAACTTTTGTTGAACTTTCATCCCATCAATCCCCTCCCTTCTTGGCAGTACATTATTATGCTTCTTTTAATCACCCAGCATGAAGCACATAGTTTACATTCACTTTAGTTCAGTGAAACGCGGGTCCTCACCTGCACCCATGAGCCCTTCTTTGCCATATCGGTCGTAGACTTCGCGCTTGCTCTCTGAAAGAATAAACCGCTCAAGTTAATAATGACCCCTTTAGAAATGTGTGGGTCTGGAACAAGCATCTCTTCTCTTAACCTGAGCATTGGTTGAACACATCAATTTCGACACAAGAACTATTATGGAGATTAAATTTGTCTGAGCTCCTGCCAAAGCCAAGATATTCATTCAAGAAATACAGGTAGTCCTCAATTTACAACAGTTCACTTAGTCACCGTTCAGAGTTTCAACGGCACTGAAAAAAGTGACTTATGACCATTTTTCACGAAGTGCTCAGAGAATTGATGCTGCCTTAATGTTTACATCATTTTATCCTGGAAAAAACCAGCCCAAGTTAGAATCATAGTGCAGCTGAGAAATGAAACTGAGAGAAATTGGTCAAATGGAGTTTTAAACTTAAAAGAACTCCATTTAAAAAGTCCAAAATTTGTTTGGACAACTTGCCCCAAAGTCAAAAGCCTTCTAGAATATAAGCACACTTAAAACTGAAGGAGTAAAACAAATACCTGGACCAAGATCTCCAAATTACCAAGGTCCTGGAACAAAAATAATGGCCTGCTTAAGCTTATGAGATGCTGGCTCATAAATTATTTTTAATTAGCACTTGTGTTTTTAAACAGGAACTAGAAAGTAACCACAAAAACTAACTAGTGCCGACTTCCACTTTATTATTCTGCTTATCCATCTATAAGCAGAAAAATCTAAGCCATTTTTTGATTGGCATTTGGCATAATTACTGACTAACATTTATTATACAATTATTTAAAGTTGTATGTACTCTCCTTTGGTGAACAGAATCTTATGGTTTGTCGCCAGTACTGTTCAGATAAATTTGGCTTAAGTCGATTTGTCATCTGGACCCGTAAATTAGGTCATGGGGATTTTTTCTCCTTCAAAACCTAAATACACTTGCTTCTTTCATTTAATAATTAAGTCCCCAAACTAGATGTGGGAACATGCTCTATTCACTTCTGACTTGCTTGTCATTGATAAAATTAATATTAAGAAGAGATTTCCTTATACTGTAGAAATCAGGGCCAGTTTGATCTGGTAGTTAAGGAAGCAGCCTAGAAATCAGGGCACTATGGGTTCTAGTCCCAATTAGATAACTATCAGCTCACCTCACTTCACAGGGTTATTGTAGGGAAAATAGGAGGAGAAGGAAGGAGTATTAGGTATGTTGGCTGCTTTGGAAAGTATAAAGGCAGTATGAAAATCTAATAAATAAGTAAATAGTCCCACCTATTTGGCCAGTATCCTGCACAGAGACCAAAGCAGTCAAAATGGCTGAGGAATGAGGGACGAAAGCCAAAAGCATTTTGCTTACTGTCAGACAGAACCTCATAGGCCTCTGCTATCTCCTTAAACTTCTGCTCAGCATAGTCCTTGTTATCTGGGTTTTTATCTGGGTGCCATTGCAGGGCTTTCTTTCTGTACCTGTGGATAACAACACAGAGGGTAGTATATGTACCTGTGAGGGATCCCATTCCATGCGATTCCAAAATGCCTTAAAAACCACCCTATCATAGCTGTAGCTCTCTATGATTTCTTCCTGCTGACAGCCATGGGCCTTCAAGAGAACAGATTCCCCTGGAATGAATGGGTTCTTTGTTTGTTTGAAGCATATATTGTGCAACTGCCCTGCTTCAAACCTTGGATTTTTTTTTTGAGGCTGATAATGGGTCAGTTTAAAAAGGTCTTCTATCTGTAACTCTCCCAAGCTTTATCATGGCTGCTTTCTTCTTTTTTCTTGACAAACATACTCAGGGCCTTTTGACTGGTAGAACCAGAAAATTTCCATTTTAGAAGCATCCTTGGACTGTTTCTTCTGCGGGAGTTATCCAAACAGCCCAGGCATCATAAGATAACAAAAAGTTAACACTTTCTTGTGAGTCCTGGACTCCCATCTACATCCCTTCCTGTTGCTTAAATATAACATTTCCAGAAATGATCCATAAAAGCTTTTCTGTGGCAGAAATAGGAAGCTATGAACCACTAAATACTATGAAAGCAAATATATGTGTCCCAGCATACTGTTACAGGAGCCAATCTGGGTCAGTCACCAGGGTTAGAGGTTTAGTCTTCCGAGCTTTCAGACATGCTCATGCTAGAGCACATCTCCAGGGAACATCTCTCTCCCAGAATGTGTAGTCTAAATACTATTAAGGCTCCAGTTTCCAGCAGATACTCTTGATCACATGATCAAGGATAGAGATCATAGAAACCTCAGTCCAGAAACAGCTGAAAGGCTACGTTTTCTATCAAGGCTTCTCATATGTTCTATTCAGATACTCCCTCACATGTTCAATTCAACATCCAGAGAAGAGTAAACAGCCTCTCCCTTTCCTAGCTGATCCAGCCTATAAGCATAGAAATGGTCTCCAGACATACCACACAATTCTCTGCAGTAGGCAACTTAGCTCTATACAGTACATTATCACTTCCATATGAAAGTATGTGTGTGCATTCAAAGGCACTGTAAATAATTTGTAAATAATCCTGCTATCAGCCTGGAGATCATCTCTTCACTTAAATCACTTGTGCAGCTAGGAGACAGAAGGAGCTGCTCACAATTTCTCAAAGGCTTGGATGAACTGGGATGCACAGAGGACAAGCAAGTAGCCAGGTTATTTGCTCATCTGGTAACTTACTTGAAGAGCTGGTGGGATACTTCCAACCTGTTAGATCCCTTCCACTTGTACTAGGAGAAACAGATACGTCTGTTCTTTCAGTTAGAGAAGCTTTTCTTACACACTAGCAATGCAACTAATACAGTACAGTCCCTCTGTTCATTGGCAGAACCTCTCTTTACTGGCTCTGGGACTTCCTCCCAACCCTTTTCATTCTGGTTAGCTTTCTACTAATCTAGAACAGAGTTACATGTGTGTGTATGCATTGGGAATAAATGTACATCCATAGATTTAAAAGCTAAAGTTTGATGAAATCTCACGTTGGAAACAGAGATTTTACAAAATTTGGCAAGCGCACAGATTTGGGGATTTTTTTTAAATATGACAACAGCAGCAATATAGTTTGGAATATCAACGGATGCCATCTAAGTTAACCATGTGGCTATGGTTTCAATGTGAATCTCACTGCTGACACAAGATATAATCTATTGCTTGGCTATCTTGTGCCTTTGCAAGCTATTATCAAGGCTATGGTAGAACACAGTCATTAGGCACAAGGTTGTGAAAAGTGTTATTTTGACACTCACGTGGATAGCCTCTGGTAGAAATAAAAAGAATGCAACTCACGCCTTTTTTATGTCATCTGGAGAGGCATTGCGGGGCACCCCCAGCGCTTCATAGTAATCCACCATTGTGCCCACGTATGTTATGTGGGGAAACTAGATTAGGAGACAGAGGAGAATACAAGGCATTTCTTAACAGTTTGCAGTAGGGTAACCCAGAGAATAACTTTTATAATTTGCAACGAGCCAAGGAGAATGAGTTATCACATCAGAGTTTTTCAGAAACACATCAAGTCAATGAAATACCTAAAACAATCTCTCTAACACAGTATCACCCAGTGTAGCTCACAGCCCATTCTGCACTTCAGACTGATTGACATCTGAACCAGAAAGCCACGCAAGAAGGAATTCTGTGAATAACCTAAAAGCAGCATATGGGATCATACCCATTCTGGCCCTGCAGTATGCTTCTCTAACCAATTTACCTCAGAGCTTCTTCACAAGTTAAAAAATAAGTCGATAGAATATATATCAGTTATGTACTGTGTGTAAATATACTTAAAATGGGAATAAGAGCACAAGAGAGACTTCTCATCTTAAGTGTATGTACACGTACCACACACAATGGTATGCAAAGGCTTAGGCCAGGGGTAGGCAACCTTGGCTCTTTTATGATTCGTGGACTTCAACTCCCAGAATTCCTGAGTCAGCCATGCTGGCTCAGGAATTCTGGGAGTTGAAGTCCACGAGTCATAAAAGAGCCAAGGTTGCCTACTTCTGGCTTAGGCAGTCTGAAGAAACTTGACACTTCAATGAATCCCTGAGGGAAGGGAAAGTGATACAAACCTCTATGTGAAACATCTTTCTGGAACCATGAATGCATATGTACTATTTACCTGCAGATGCTTACAGATTCAAATAAGAAAATAGTGGATATGGCTTGTGGAATTATTTGAAAATCTTCCTTTGGCAAAAATGAAAACTGTCAAATGTGTCCTATATCCAGCTAAGAGTCCCTTTGAATTTTTTTCCCACTCTTCCTTGCAGTAGCTCTCTAGCTCAGAAACAGTCTTAGATTTTTTGGAGATCTCCTTATTGATTTTCAGTAAAGTTCAAGTCTAGGAATTGTGAAAGCTTTATAAAACCTTTATCTTTCTTTCCAATAAAGTCTGTTTTGCTGAAATAATCCGGTCTCTTTTCAGCCTGTTTTTTTTTTTCCCACCAACTGGCTAATTTGTATCCAGCCTGAGTTCAATTTATAGTCCTTTATGGCCCAAGACAAAGAGGAACTAATGGAGCTTCTTTTCCCAGATCTCCTTACCTGAAATCATCTTTGGAAGCCCTGCACCATATTATGCATTGTAGAGAGCGGCTACTTGGAAGCAGACCTTTTCCATGGGATTCCCACCACCACCCCCTCCGTATTGGAATGCCTTCTCTTTAAGCCAGTGGTTCTCAACGTTTTTAATACCGTGACCCTCAACCGGTCATAAGTCGAGGACTAAACAGGTCGTAAGTCGGGGACTACCCAACCGATCGTAAGTCGAGGACTTTCCCTGCCTGGGAGCGCTGCACATGCGTGCTGCCTCCCCCTGCGCTGGCCAAGACGTACCTGGCAAGCAGCAGAGATGGAGCAGACCGACCACCAGCTGGACCAGCAGCTGGCCCAGCCCAAGGGAAGTAAGGCACCCGCCGGAAAAGGGGAAAAAATGGCGGACAGCCTTGCTTGGCGACCCCCATGAAATGGTCGATCGACCCCAAATGGGTCCCGACCCATAGGTTGAGAACCGCTGCTCTAAGCAATGGCAGTACTGGGATGCATGGTTTGTATCAACATTAGAGAAAAGAAGAAAAGGGTATTACAATGCAAGCTTCTCCTTTGCATGTGTATTGTATCTGCCTTCAAACAGGGTGGGGCTTGTATTGCAATGTTCTATCGGCCATCTTGCCAGTTCTGCCCTTCTCAAGAGACCCTGCTGTTAGTGAAGTATGTTGCTCTTCCGAGTTCAGATCTTTCTACAGGCACTCCTTGCTTAGCAACTACAATTAGGATTGGCAACTCGGTCACTAGCCAGAAAATCACTTGACCCTGACAGGCTTACAACATCACTTTCCATTCAGTCATTATGTGAAATAATTTGTGACCCACAACTTACGGTTTTACCTCCAGGTTCTGCCTTAACTGTGCTTGTTTTAAGTCAATTGGGAAGCATGCAAGTGACCGCAGGATGGTACGACGGTTATAAATGTGAAGAGTGATCACAAAGCTATTTTTATACCATCATAATTTTGAATGGTCACTAAACGAGACAGTGAGGATTACTGTATTTTTTCAGTAATCTTAATCAATTGATATATTAATTCGTAGTTCTTAGAAGCATTTTAATTAGACTGCTTTTATCTTTATTTATATTTAATATTTCTGAACCACGCATTTCTCTCAGATTATTTCACTCTTATAGTTATTTTAATTATTGTGCACTATAATTGTTAATAATTTTGATAAAATTGGTGTATTGTAAATAACTGCGATAAACCTAGTTTTCAAGGTTTTTCAAATTTTTAATATAAAGGGAATTTTTAAAATTATAATTAATTTCATAATTTATTCACTATGTGGGAAAAAATAATTCAATCTGTTTCCTGGATTGTTCTAAACATCTTGTTCTAAACTAAAAACCTGAGATCCTCCTAAAAAACTTTATAAATGAAATTTTTTAGATTAGAATTTCAAATAATTCAAAGACCAAACTCTTATACTTCTCTATCCCTCGCAACTCTATTCTAACAGGACATAATAGGCATCACTTTTACCTCTACCAAACTAGTTCTTAAATATTAAGAACTATTACATCTCCAATACTTAAATCTACCTAAATGAAATTACGCAAATATTATAATCTTTATTAAACAGGACTATAATGCATCCATTTTAAGTTAGCAATTTAGCATTACCAAGTAGAGTATGTTCTTTAAGCAAGATCTGTTGCCCAGGAATGGCACTCTTTCCTTTTGGCTAGCATTCCCCAATCCACAGCTGCAAAATGTGAGTGTCACAACTCTCATAAATCTCATGGGTGACAAAAGCTGTAGTTTAACAAGCCTAACGTTGATGACCAGATAGGGAGGAGACGACACAGGCCAACAGATCAGTTCCAAAACCATTAAATCAACCAGCAATATTTACCAATTTTCACAAGAAGCTTTATTTAAAAATAGTTCGACCTATTGCAAAGTAAAAATGAAACTCATGTATCTGAGATGTTTATTTCTATATCAATGTTTCTCTTTCACTTCCTTTCACATTCTAAGTAGAATCAAACAGAACACCCAACACAGTGCTGGGCTGCATTAACAGAGGGATAGAATCAAGATCACGTGAAGTATTAATACCACTCTACAATGCTTTGGTAAGGCCACACTTGGAATACTGCATCCAGTTTTGGTCACCACGATGTAAAAAAGATGTTGAGACTCTAGAACAGTGGTTCTCAACCTTTTTAATGCCGCGACCCCCAACCGGTCATAAATTGAGGACTACTCAACTGGTGCAGCACCGTTTGCAGAATGGGACTTTTGGCGAGCTCAGCAGGGCAGAGACAACCTGGACAATTCCTATTGGCTTTTGAAAGCCAATAGAATTAGACTCTATTCAAGAGAGTCTATTCTATTGGCTTTCAAAAGCCAATAGAATAAAAGGGAGTAGCACAGCTAAGGAAAAAGGGAAAAAATGGCGGACTGCATTGTTTGGCGACCCCCGTGAAATGGTCGTTCGACCCCAAATGGGGTCCCGACCCACAGGTTGAGAACCGCTGCTCTAGAAAGAGTATAGAGAAGAGCAACAAAGATGATTAGGGGACGGGAGGCCAAAGCATATAAGGAAAGGCTGCTGGAATTGGGTATGTCTAGTTTAATGAAGAGAAGGACGAGGGGGGATATGATAGCAGTATTCCAATATCTCAGGGGCTGCCACAAAGAAGAGGGAGTCAACTATTTTCCAAGGCGCCTGAAGGCAGGACAAGAAGCAACGGGTGGAAACTTATCAAGGAGAGAAGCAACTTAGAACTAAGGAGAAACTTCCTGACAGTTAGAACAATTAACCAATGGAACAACCTGCCTCCAGAAATGGTGAATGCTCCAACACTGGAAGTTTTTAAGAAGAAACTGGACAGCCATTTGTCCGAAATGGTATAGGGTTTCCTGCCTGAGCAGGGGGTTGGACTAGATGACCTCCAAGGTCCTTCCAACTGTATCATTATTATTATTATATATCAGTATACCACATAACTCTGTCAATGCAGACCGAGACAACAGACGGAGACAATGTGATATTGCATGATTGCAGGTGCAGAAAAGGTTAATTGGCCTGGGCTGGCTAACCTTGATCTGGAGGAATCAACCTCCAAAGTATGATGCTGACTGGTGGTCTGTCTGCTGACTGATCTGGATCGTTTGGAAGGCTGTGTTTTGGCCTTCAATATGGTCTTGCCCACCGCCTCATTAGGGGATTTATGCCTCTTCCTGGCGGGGGGCTCAATATTGGAATCGAGTTGTCCACCATATTGTGGAAATTCCACTTGGCAACCTGCCCTCTCAATTGATTAGTTGAGGCAACAGGTTCCTCAGGTCTCTATTCAGTGAGAAGTGCCCTCCCTCAGCACTGTAATTCACTGAAGGAGCCCGATTAATATATGTTAAACCCAGATGAGGGTGGTGGGTGGTGGGGGTCAACGCCAGGCAGTGCGTCCTGTGGGAACGAGCTTGCCCTCCCCAAGTCCAGGAGATGTTCAGTGCCAGGAGACAAATGGCGGATGCCACAAATTGGTCAAGGTACTGAGGCAACAGGCCTCTGAGAGCTCAACTTCAGTGAAAAGCGCCCCCCCCCCTCAGCGTTGTAATTTTGCTGAAAGAGCCCAGTCGGATGAAGGTCAAGGACCAGGTGAGGGGGGGGCAGTGGGGATCAATTGCCAGGCAGTGCGTCCTTGTGAGGACGAGCTTGCCCTCCCCAAGTTCAGCTGCAGTGCTCCCACGAAGAAAGGTAAAAAACAAAATGGCGGCTGTCTCAAAATGGCGGCCGCAACTCCACACGCGCCAAAAATTGCCGTTGGAAAGGCCTCTGAGGCAGCAAACTACCTAGCTGAGACCTGTGTGGTCTG